GGTTTTGGTTGGTTGGTTGGTTTGTTGGTTTTGGGTTCTTGTTTGTGGGTTTTTTTGTTGTTTTGTTAGTTTTTTTCCCTAAGTTCAGTGTTCAAGACTTTCAAAGCAATGCAGCAGAATTGGAGCCTAATTTTCATTAGTTCTACTGAGAATTTTTTTTCTCAAATCTCTAGGTAACATTCAAAAATATCTTGTGAAATACATTGGGTAGAAGAGCTTGGATTAGTGTAACTTTTTGACTGTGGCCTGAACCACAGGTCAGTAATCAAATTAATTATATTCTCCTTTGTTTTTTGTAGTTTGTCTTTTCTGTTATTAATACTGTAAAGTGCTTCAGATAAGCCTATCCTACATCTCTATTGAAAGAGAAAGCTGCTCATCTCAGAAAAAAGTAGTGGCTAGAGTGCAGCCTAACACACAGTCAGCATTAGGGCAAAGTTGCTTGAATCAAAACAATAGCTTGAATTTGGGACTTTATCCTTGCAAATTAGTATCCTGGTGCCTTTGAAATATACAATTTACCTTGCCTCTTTTTTTTCTATATATTCTAAAGGTATCTGACATCTTCCAGGGAGGAATTGAAATTTTTTTTGTATTTAAGCATGTTCAGTTAAAGAAAAAAATTCAAACTACAAAATGTTTAGCTAATTTGATCTAAAATTATTTTGCTTAATAATTTCTCTCTGAACGTTTTACATATCAAAGCATGCTCAGAAAAAAGAAAAGCATTTCATTTCATCTTAAAAAAAGTCTCTCTCTGACATCAAAATATTTCCCTATCACTTCCTAGTGGATTATCAGAACTCAAAAAATAAAAATAATTTCACGTAGAGAAGCAGCAGATTTTTGTTTTTCTTATGAAACTTCAGGGAATGCAAAAGCATTTATTCATCCTTCTTTTGTTATTTTTCTTTCTATTTTCCATTTATAATTGTATTCAAAGGATGTCACATAATAGTCCTAGATATTTTGCTTCCTAGTGCAGAGCTGTGTATTCTTCACTTTTATCTATTTGGTTTCTGTAGTTTGTCAGACAGAGTTTTGTCCCAGGCAGAAGCAGCCAGCAGGACTCTTTTCTAAGGTTTATGGACTTTCTGAGTTTTTGTTTGTTTAAATATAAATATATTTGCATAGCCCAATGGAATAGAACCAGATTCAGACTGTACAGGATGGTTAAACAGGTAAAATCTTTTCTTAAGGTGTAGAAGAAATAATTTTACTAACACTTTGGGCGTAGAGCCCTGGAAGAGACCTGATCCAATGACAGAACTGACAGCCTTCACAGGCAAGAGTCCTGCTTGTGCAAACAGCATGCAATCTACCACTGTGCATCAAGTTAATGACATGAATTCATTACCTTCATCTATCCAGTCACCCAAAATGGCATAAATTGGCACCACTTGCAAGTTCTGAGAAGTTCAGAACTACAGGTGGTAATTTCTGAAAATTTCTGCCAATGAGATGGGGAAAAAAGCGCATTTTTTACATGATGGAAGAGAATACAAGAAGAAAAGAAAGACTTTGTACAATAGATTTTGGACAGTACTGTCACGACCTTCACAGAAACATGAAGACACCCAGAATTATGGTGTATCACACTCTTTTGTATGAGGCAGACTTGAATTGTACTCATGACTTTAATCCCCTTGCCCCATTTCCTGCAGAAGTTGGTTCTACATAACATGCTGGTCCTTGGGTGCTCTGCCCTTCACTTGGGGGTTCCTGTAGCAGTGTATCTACTCTGGGATTTTCTGAATAGTCTGAATATAGTCAAATTCTTGAACAGAACTTAAAGGAAGATTGTATTGATCCTTCTATACCTTACTCACTTCCTATCAATGTTGCAGTTAGCAACATACTTCAGATTCCAACAGGATAGCTTCTAACAAGAAAGAACTGTATGCTTACTAGTATCTCAATTAGCATGCTTCTGGAGAGAAAGAGAAAAGCAGAAGGAAAGGAGCATTTAGGTACTCAATTACTGCAAAACTATATGTGAGCAAAGAGCTATTAGGCTAAACATGGGCATGCTTCTCATCCTAAAGAGGTGTCTGAAAACGTCTTTGCTGGCGGGATGGGAGGGGAAGCATTTCCCTGCTGGAAAGTATTTACCGCTGAGTTGCTGTCTTACCCCAGCTCCAGCAAAAGCCAGAAACCCTGAAAGAACTACTTAATGACCTGATAATTCACAGCAAGATCCCAACTAGACTGACCATCCTAATTAGCCTTATTTTGGTTTTCTTTCTTCTTTTAGTTCTTGTGTCTTTCCATGCTGGTGATTTCAACCTTGAAACTTTGAGATACTGCTGATTCTCTCTCAAAAATCCTGTGTCTGTCTGTAACATTTACTCTCTTACATGTTTGCAGACAACTCTTTCAGAGCAGCCTGAGTCCAGGTTATACAGCTGTGTCATATCAGAGCGGGATCATGTATGCTTGGTACACAGACACCTGGACAGCTGTGGGTGTGTGTATATGTGTGTGTTAGATGACAGCAGAGTTACAGGGACAGGGAGTGACATCACTGTCCTCATTTACTCCTCCTCAATGCTGCTGTTTCTGGAGCTTGCATAGCTGTATAATGAGCTGGCTCGGTTCAGGGAACTGGAAATTCATCCAGCTCCTGGTACAACCATCTGCTTTTTGCAGCCAAGTGAGCAGGGCTTCATTTTGTATATTGGCACACTGAAAACAGAGCAAACTGCTTACGAAAATGAGTTGAGTTGTCCAAGGAGTGAGAAAAATATCAGAAGAGGAACACTGAGGCAAAACCCTACTTTTTTCCCCTGTAAATCTTCATACCTAGCCACAAGACAGCAGCAGTTCCAGATTCTCTTTGTTATTAAAGTTATAACAGGTTCTTAAAAATTCACCATTTTGAGATTCTGTATTTCAATATTTAGTGAACGATTTATGAGTGAGAAGCCTAGGGTGCTGATTTCTACAACACTGAAGTATTTTCTATCAGAAAGTCCTACTTTCCTGAATTGAAGATGAGTCCTAAGGGATAACTGAAATTAGCTCACATATGCAACACTGCTCAATATTGATATGCTTTCAAGAATCCACTCCATACTATAACAACAAATTTCTACCTGCTTATTAAATACACCAAACAAATAACTAAACTTCATTCTTCTGCGGAGGTTACATGACAGACGCACAATATCCTTTTGAGTCCAATATAATAATTTTAGGCAAGTTCCCATCCAGTAAATTTGATATTCTGTGAGTGAGCCAGCTGCATACTTCTTTGTAGAATGTTAACATTCCTATGGCATCTGAAGGTACACACCTAGAAATGAACTATATTCCAACATTGTTGTTTTGCTTCTAAGTTAAGTTGTATATATGCATGTTGGTTTACTGACTTATATAGTTTGCTTTACTATGTTTAAAAAGTTTTCTAGTTATTTGTCCCAATTCAAGAAAGCCACATATTTAGTAATGCAAAAATAGAATCAACCTTAAAGATTTTTTTTTTAAATTAAACATCTGGTATAGGGATTTTATCCATTGGTATAGGGATTATGTCTATTTCCATAGTCACATATTCAGAGAAAAACACATTTCAACAGTCTTTGGGTTGAGTTTCTGATACTATTTTAACATGTGATATTCTTCCATAGACAAGTTTTTATTCATTTTGCGGAATATACTCCCTATTTGATTATTTAATTTGAACAACAAATAAAAAAAGCAGCTCTTCTAAAAACACAGAAAGATAAAGAAAAAAAATCTCTTTAAAATAAAATCATATATTTTGGTAATAACTGTAACACAGTCAGATAAATTGGAATGGGAATTTCTGCACAAAATATTCCTAATTTATTATAAGTCTGATATGCTTTGTGACCTTGGATACACCTGGTTTTGTCATTGTATTCCAGTTTATATATAACACAGTCATGTGAGACATGAATATATTGAACAGAATCACAGGAATCTGATCTGCCAGTACCTCCTGTCCTCCTTCTGTTGATGAGGAATTTTTTACCATTCTTCCAGATAGTTCCTTTGTCAGCAGTTCTATATCTAAAAATATATATTTGGGAGGAGAGGGGGGTACATCTTTTTTCTATTGTCCTAGATCTTCCTTCTTCAGCCTCTCATTACTTTGTTTATAACTTTCAAACCAAGGTCACCTCCAGAAGTCTAACCTTTTCCATCTTTCCTTGATGTACCAGTTTCGGCTATTACGATATTCAATTCTAACACATAGCAAACTGTACATAAAGGCTCAGATCACCTGTTACCAGGCCAAGACACATGTCCTTTTGCTCCATTGGATTGTGGAGTGGTAGTCTGACACAACTTGGTGCAGCTTTCAAGGGCATTAGAGTTCCTCATGGCTAAATTGGGTGACACTGAGGGCTCCTTGATGGTGCCTGCCATGACAGAGCAGCTATCCTGGAGTGTAATATCTATCTTTTGTCAGACAGTGTATTGTAAAGCATCTTTCCACACAGGAAAAAATTTGAATTACTCTATTCATCTCTTAAGATAACGAGCATGGTAATTAAACCTGTCTGAACAAATGGAAGTTGGTAGCTTGGAAAGCGGTGTCACTGAAAACAATTTAAGGGACACAACTGATGGACAACTCATTATTAGCTCCCATATTGCAATGTGGCAATTTAAGGAAACACAATCCTTAGTTGCATGACGAAGGAACACTGAGATGACTTATCTCTGCATAGCACAAATATAAAAGACATACTTTTACTTTGGACTTGAGGCTGCCTTTAGTAGTCCCTTACCTTTTGCCTCTCTTAATTGAATTAATGTTCTTGTCCCAGAAGACTGGCATTATGACTCCAGTCCATCTGCCAGCTCCTCAGGTCCAAGGTTTGATCTGAGCAAGCAATTCATCTTTTTTTAAGTAATGACTTAATTTGCAAGTGATGACTACATTTTGCAATACAGATATGGTTTATGTAGCAGAAAACAATATTAAACAAAAGGTAAATCGTATGTTCCTAACCTTATCATTTGTCCAGGACCTGTCTGGCTGTGACTGATCAATGAACCATGACGATGTTAGAAGGCCCAGAGAAGATTTGAATGGTGACACATCCATGAAGCTTCCACAAGAAAGACTGGACAGTTGTCTTCCTTCTGTATAAATGATTACAGCAGTTGAGTGGATCAGCCGTCAACTGGATAAAGTAGTTGAGTGAATCAACAAATAGTACCAGCTGAATGGATCAACCTCTTATTTGTCCCTCAATTAATAAAAAGAACAGAAACAGTTACACAACTTGTAATAGAGTACCCAACACAGACTGCGACCAGCTGTTACACTCTGGATTTTAAGCCATAAGCTGCTTGAAGCAGTTACATTTTATTTAAGACTTTTTAAAAGTCTTTTGGTTTGTTATAACCTCAAATTCGCATCTGGAGAAAGAACCACAACTCTTCTCTGAGACAAATTCTTTTAATTTGGTGAGAAAAATAGACATTTTGGCAAAAGGTTTTACAGGAGTAAAATACAATCAAGAAAAATATTGAGAATTATGCTAGTACTGTGATTCAACTATATAATGCAGTTGCTATACTCTGATTATTTGTACTTGTGTTTTAAGTATGTTGCTGTATCCTCTTGCAAAATCAAAATTCCATGTAACGTCAGAAGATATTCAAATAAGTAAATTTGGTGTTAAACTTTAAATCCTCCATGTGCGGAACAGTTAAAATAAATTGGTCAGTCTGTTGGACTCTGATGCTAATGCAAGTTTGTCAGGTCTGCATCATAGACTTTGCTTTGTTGCCAGTATCTGTGTCATCTCTCATTGATCTCTCATTGAACACAACTTTTTATGGTTCTTGAATGTGAAAACTTTCACAAATCAATGTACTTAATTTACAATTCCCAGTTATTCCCCTCATCTTTGCAGTGGTTTCTCCAAAAATCATCACTCACTGAGCCAGGAGAACAGCAAGGATACATTGATATAACAGTCTTTTGCCATATTTTGTAGATTAATAATATGTAATATGTCAATGTATTTGGTTTTGAAAGACCCATGATTCCAAAATATGAACTCCAGCAGAGGAAGCTGGTCTTGAAATTGTGTAAATGAATCCGCTATCCATATTTCAAGAAGATTGCTGAAAGAATAGCAAAAGTTAGAAGAGATATATTTGTGGGTTATTTGTGAGTTTTTTGTGGGTTATTTGTGGGTTAGAGGAAATAATTTTTAACAAATGGCTTAGTTCAGTATTTTTTGTCTTTTCAGGTAGTCTGTTTGTTTTGGTGGGTTTTTTTGGTTTGTTTGTTGTTTTTTTTCCCCTGAAATGCTTTGAAGACCTTTTTTTTAAACCGTAGAAATCAATTACTATTGAGTACATATGCAGGGTCAATCAATCTGCATACAATGTAAGTTGTTTGTTTCTCTTTATATTATTTTACATCCATTTTACAGTGAAAGTGATTTTACTCCTTCACTGTTCTTTATCAGTCTCATAAGATTTTCCTGCACTTTCAGTTGTTGTCTTTAAAATCCCAAATACCAGGTATCAAACCCTCACTTTAACATCCATCAAGACTTTCCACATCTTCTATGAATATAGTGAGCAGATTGTACTCCACTTGCAGCTTTCATATATGCAGAAAACTGATAATTAATTCCAACCTTTTAATTTTTATTCTGTCATGTGAAGGATTTGCTTCTTATCACATTGTAGAATAATTTTTTGAAGACCATTTGATGACCAACATTTTTGAATGCCTTTTGAAAGTCTAAATAAACTTTATGAATAGAATGTTTGTCCTCTCTAACACTTGATATGATTTTTTAGAGATAAATGATACAAAATGTACAAAAGTTTTCTTGACTTCCCCAGTGACTGATATCTATCTATGACTTCTCAAATTCCATTTTTAATGTGATTGCCAGTGATTTTACTGTGTAAGCATCAGATGTGTTGGTCTACAGTCACTGGATCCCACTAATATCGTTAAAAATTAGTACTGTATTCCGATTTTCTGACCCTTTTATGTGAGAGGTTACAAACTTGGGTTACTAGTTCAGCTACTTTACCCTACAGTTTCTTAGGAATGCCTGGGTGTAAATTGTCTTGTGCCAGTGATTTGATATTACTGCCAATGCAGTAATCAACAATGCCCAAACCCTATCACAAACTCCAATGACTAACCCCATTAAAAACCATATGCTAAGAAAAATTCAACCAATAGTTAGAACCCTAAAAGCCTAATCCCAAACTGAAACCAACCCCCAAACCTCCAAGCTCCTCCCTCTCAGGCGTGCGGTAACGCCAAAGCCCTAAATTTAATCTTGGGGATAGCATTAGAGTTAGAATTCAGTTTAGGTTTGTTTTTGTGTTAATGCTTAATGTCAAGCTGAGGATTTGATTTATTGCTGGGATGAAGATAACAGGGCATGGCTAAAGATTATTGCCAGGTTTAGTACTAGGGTTTGTAATTATGATTATGCGTTTGGGCAGAGTAGAACTAGAATTCAGGTCAGGATCAGAAGTCATGGCTATGCTTTCAGCCAATGATTTTGTTTGGCTTTATGTTTAGAGTCAGGGACAAGGTTACTCCAACTCTTCAAATAGGGACATTTATGGTTGGAATTCATAATTCACTATTAGTGTGCAGATTTAGATATTGGGCTAGAGTTCAGTGATTGAGTTTGGCTTTAGCATTATGGTCAGGTTTAGGAGTAGCTTAAAGCTGTTATGTTTTAATTAAAGCTTAAAGCTGTTATGCTTTATGTTAGACTTTGTTGTTCAGTTAGGGTGCAGTTAGGCTTAGATTGATGAGTGAGAGTAAGGCAAAGTTGAAGGTTTTGGTTAGATTTAGGGTTTGGGTTAGAGTTATGTTTAAGGCTTTGTTTAATTTTAGGATTAGGGTAAGGATTAAAGATTAGGGTTCCTGTTTCATTTTGGTCAGGCATGAGGGTTTATTATTAGTCTTACTTTTTTAAGTGTATTTATGATAAGAGAGATATAATTTTTTACCATTTTTTTGGATGCCACCAGTTTAATCAAGGCTATACTGAGTTGGAATTATTCTATTTCTGGATCGACACACACCTGGATCCAAATATGAAGTTAAACATATTATTATGCATAAGAAAGTCAGAGAAATGCAATTTGGTTTGTTCAGGGTGCTGCCCCAAGAGACTGTCATCTCTGGTCAGTCTCAAATGACCAATATCCTGAACCTCCTGCATGCAGGGTTGGGTCTGCTGTTGCCAGTGGACCTTTCACCTGCCATTTCAACCCTCGTCCATCGCTACAGGGCCTTGCAAATGTGAGTAAGGCCTTCGAGCCTGTGCAATGGACTTTTTAGGTGAGACGCAGTATGCACGGAACCGAACCCGCCCTTTAATCCTAAAGGTTCATCTGCCGGGGCCGAGCGAGCTTGGATGCTGGCAGCGAGGTCCTCAGGATGTAGGTTTAGAGTGACCTTCTCTTAGATGGATGGCCTTACAGGGCTAAGCGAGCTCGATCTGCCCAGGTTTGGGAATTAAAGTTGTCCTTCTCCTAGGATGACTGCCAGAAGGCTAATGAGCTCATCCTGCCCAAGGATGTATTGTATCTGGCCCTACAGGTTTGACCTGTCTGGCATGGGCGACCCTACCGAAGGCATGTACCATCACCAGCATGGCTTGTAACCACATAGGGGTACACAGGCTTCATTCCTATTAAAACCATTAGGGCAAGTCTTTCACTTCCTACTTTTCTGCCACCTATCTATATTCAATCCCAAGGAAATACCCAGAAACAACCCTTTGTCCGGATCACTCTTTCAGGATGTAACAAATACATCCAGAACATACTGAACCTGGGCAGTAGCCGCAGGTGAGCCAAAACCAACCAACCAAACAAACTGTTCCAGCCCCCGTACCCACCCGGAGCTCGGGTACCTTTCAAGACCCCAACCTGGCTGGGACCCCCATCACTCCAAAGGAGCCCACTATCCACCCTGACCTTATTCTCCCCCAACTCTGTTACCACTTATCCTCAGACGCACTGCTCACCTGCGACATTTCATACAGGGTTGCCCCACTCGCCCTCCCACCAGTCCGAGAACCCCCACGGCCCGTCCGACACCCCTCCCCTCCCCCAAACCAGAATGGCAAACCTTTGTGTGCTCCGAAGCTCCCCCCTCTTCTCCCACGAGGGCGCAGCACCTGCTGGCTGCCAACACGTGGCACCCGGGGTCCCCCGGGGTGGCCTGCGGACACCAGAAAGAGAGAATAATAGAATTAGATTCTTCTTACCTGAATGTGGTAATTTCTGAAAAGCTGTCTGAAGTTGCAGTAGATGAATATCAACCCGAATGTTTCCAGGATGTTAGTTTATACTATGCATTATTTTATTTTATAAAGGATGGAGTGACTGGCATTTTAAAATCTTAATTTATAATTCCATGCATTTGTGGCATCTTGTAGTATTAAAATTATGTGAGACACCATAGAAGTAATCTGTAATCAAACATGATGTTTTAGTGTGTTGCTCTTTTTCTGTTGAATGTATTGCTAAAAGAAAAATAAAAGCATCTTTCAAATGCACGTAAATGCAGTTGCCATTCATCTTTCCATCTGTTGGATAATGTGTTGCACATTACAAAGGCTAATACTTGTCATGTGTTTCTGCCTACATTTTATCTTCCACCTATTACTATATTAATAATGTCATGTGTAGGTCACTTTATGATGGTAATGATTACGATTTGATTCTGTCCCAAATTACAAAAAAAAAAAAAGACAAAAAAAACCCCAAATCAAAACCACAAACCACTTTATATTGATTTATGGCTGGGCTTATGTGTCAGTAGAAAAAATTTCCACGGTGATTTTCAAGGTACTGTGGCCCTTCCAGTTTATTAGCGGTTCACTATCCCAGGAAGTTTTTATATTGTTATTTCAAGTTTTATATATCCTGTCCTATTTTAGCCATAATCTTGCACAAACCTCATCACAAAAAATATGAGCCCCAGTTACACTTTACCAAGTCACTGGCCTAGTCAGATTTTACTTGTAACTTTAAGACAAAGTCCTCAAGGGATGACAACCCGTTACACTGAAATTGTCCAAGATAATTACTACACCAATGGTCAATTTTGTAAGCATATGTTTTCCTGGATTAGAATCTGTAAGCTTTTCTGCCTGGGTGCAATCTAATTTTCTGTTTCAATTCTATACTGAAGAAAGCATCTCCTTCCAGTTTAGCAGTGTGAATGTCAAGCTAATTTTAAAATAATTATTTTCAGGTACACAAT